AAATCTGGTAGAACAGACTATTAATAGAGTGGCTCACAAGCAGCCCAAAGCTAATAAAAATTTTATTTTATTTTATTTTATTTTGGTGGCTGGCCAGTATGGTATAATGGAAATTTTAAACTTTCTTTTAATATTCCAAAAAAGTGGGAATTCCTGTCTTCGAAGACAGCCCTGTGGCCACTAACCAAGCCGAGCTCTGCAAGCACTAGCAGTAACACATGCACTGCAAAGCTGAGGGGCCACATACCCCAGCAATTTATGGAAAGTGCTTAGCATAAACCATCTGCCAGTCTGGATCAGGGGAGGAAAAGTAACTGTCCTCCCAAGCAGCCTCTCCCACTAGCTGGGAAGTCTCCCTGATGCTGAAAATCACTGGAGACCCAGCAGCTAAGCTCCTTGACTGAACCCTGGAATTATAATTAGGCAGTGGGTGGTTGGATCAGTCCTGAAGAGCCAGCGCAGGTAATTATCCTTTATCTCTACCTGGTAGCCAAGATTAAATTATTGCCTTGCTCAAAACTGCTGTATCTCCCTTGCTGCTGCCTCTGGCATGCAAAGTATTTGCAGTTGCCTCCTTGAAGCTATCATGTAAATAAGGCTGTGCATTCTGTACATTTTTAACCTGGCTTGTTTGTCAAGCTTCTGTGGACTGCTTGTCACCCTCACCACATATCGAGGTCATAAACAAGTTGGGACTCCAATGCGATTCCCTAAATTAAGAGCACCCTAGAAATATGATGAACTAATTGATAAGGCAAGAAAACCTCAGTTTTGGTAAAAGCAAAGTTTGATACTAAGGTTGCCCTCTGCACTGGAGCTGTATATCCTGCTCTTTCTTTTATTAATAATACAAGTTCAAATATACCTGAACAAAAAAATATAGAACAGCTAGAAGAGCAACATTAAATATAATGGCAAAACTACCTGTGGAGGGCAAAGCACACTGCTAAGTAGGAATAGCATGTACCTTAATTCTAACTTTCAAAAGTATTTATTGAGTAGTTCTGTGCAAGTTCAAGAATAAAAGTAGCACTGTACTGGTTTAAATACCCTTAATGTTTTCATCAAGTCACCAAAGTCATCATAATCAAAACTACATTTATACCTAAAATTGGCTTTGTACTGTCAATGTACTGTATATTTTGTCATTTAAATCAAAAGTTTAGTTAAGGCTTTTGATCCATTGAGACAGAACAAATATTTCAACAGCTGGAAGATATCAAAAGTCGAGAGTTCTGGCATTTGAAGAGACATATATAATCACTATCCCCTAAAAACAAAACATCCTGAAGAAAGCCAAGGAAACATGCTGTCTCATTGGAAACCAGCAAAACATAAAAATACAGAAATTATAATCTCTCTCCAATCTTTATTTATAAAATTTACTTAGCTATTAGAACTATTGATACTACCCCAGGTAAGAAAGATAATTTCTCCTTGGAGATACAGAAATACCATTTTCCTGAGTATGAAAAGTAATTATCAGCATTTTTCTGTATTTATCATAGTCATATTATGGCTTTTCAGTGTAGACCACACAAAATTTTTGCTTCAGCTAGACAGCCAAGCAGCTGACACAACTCATAATATGGTCTGATTAAAAGGAGCAAAAAGAAAAGCTCAATCTCTGTTCCAATTTAGTTCGAATTTTCAAGCTACAATGTCAGCAACTCAGAAGTTGCACTGAAGTGAAAATTTCATGATAGATTTGTACATTTATTTTGTATTTTCATAGGGTCTGTTTCTATGATTCTCTCCACCTTGCCTGAATTTCACCCATGAACTATGCCCACTCCTGTCATCTACCATCAGTTCAGCCCACCCTGCCTTCATATGTGGAAATAACACACCACAGATTTGTTTTTACCCTAAGTTCTCATTCTAGAAAAGATGAAGTATTTACGTAGGACCAGCAGGAAAATATTTTACTACCTTACATGTACTAGGTACATTTAATAAAGAGTGTTCCCTAGAGAAAGGCAGAGCTGACAGTGTGTGTGTGTGTGTGTGTGTGTGTGTGTGTGTGTGTGTGTGTGTGTGTGTGTGTTAAGAGTGGGAATGGTTTGAGAGAAGAAATACTGTAACGAAAAGGCTTCTACAGTATTCTCTGTGGATATCTCTCTAGAGCTGGACATGAATACACAACCAGAATACACGACCAGCAGTCTGAAGTAAGAACAACAAACAGTCTGTCAATCAACTGATTTACTTTCTTCCCGTCAGAAGGGAGTATGGCTAACACCTCATACTTTTAGATGGGGGAGCTTTTTAGACTAACAATCATTTAGAGCAGTGGGTTTTAAATTAAATTGCAAGGAGCACTGGAGTTGGTCCCCAGCCTGTTCTCAACCAGACTAATTTTAATCTGTTTTACACAAAGGTTCTATGGCAGAAGAATTCTGGAAAACACTGAATGGGAATAATAAGAGTACTGCCTCCCCAGGGATATCATGAGAACTGAATGATATAAATGTGTAAAATGCTTAGGACAATGGCTTGCATGTGGTAAAAGCTCAATAGAAGTTGGCTAGAATTATGATGCTGATAATGATCCAAGTCTTAACTGTACAGATAATTTTTTTTAAAAGCACAGATGTAGTGTTTTTATACTCCAACAACAAACTAGAAGAAAAAGAAATCAAGAAAGCAAGCCCATTTACAATAGTTGCCAAAAAAATAAAATACCTAGGAATAAATCTAACCAAGGAAGAGAAAGATCTCTATAATAACTATAAATCACTGCTGAAAAAAATTATAAAGAGGACACCAAAAGATGGAAAGATGTTCCTTGCTCATGGATTGGAAGAATCAATGTAGTGAAAAAACCATCTACAGATTTACTGTGATCCCCATCAAAATACCAATGATATTCTTCACAGAAATAGAAAAAACAATCCTAACATTCATATGGAACAACAAAAGACCCCAAATAGCCAAAGCAATCCTGAGCAAAAAAAAAAGCAAAGTTGGAGCATTACACTTCCTGACTTCAAACTACATTACAAATCTATAGTAACCAAAACAGCATGGTACTAGTGTAAAACACACATATATGGACCAATAGAAAAGAATAGAGAACCCAGAAATCAACCCACGTATTTATAGCCAACTGATCTTTGACAAGGGCATCAAGAGCATACAATGCAGAAAGTACAGCCTCTTCAATAAATGGTGCTGGGAAAACCAGATGTCCATGTGTAGAAGAATGAAACTTGATCTGTACCTCTCACCATATACCAAAATCAACTCACAATGGATTAAAGACATCCAGAATATACAAAGAGCTCAAACAAACTTTACAGCAAAAAAAGCCAGATAATCAAATTTAAAAAAGAGACAAAGGAGCTAAATAGACATTTCTCAAAGGAAGACATACAAATGACCAACAAGTACATTAAAATATTTTCAACATCACTAATCATCAGGGAAATGCAAATCAAAACCACTTTGAGATATCACCTCACCCCAGTTAGTCTGGCCATTATAAAAAATACAGAAAACAAATGCTGGTGAGGACATGGAGAAACAGGAACCCTTCTGCACTGTTGGTAGGACTGTAAATTAGTGCAGCCATTATGGAAAACAGTATGGAGGTCCCTCAAACAACTACAGATAGAACTGCCATATGATCCAGCAATCTCACTGCGGGGTATATACCCAGAGGATTGGAAATAATCATGTAAAAGGGGTACCTGCACTCTCATGTTTATCCCAGCTCTATTTACAATAGCCAAGACATGGAACCAACCTAAATGTCCATCGATGGATGACTGGATAAGGAAAATGTGGTATATATACACAATGAAATACTACTGTCATAAAAAAGAATGAAATTCTGCTATTTGCAGAAACACTGATGAATGTGGAGAAAATTATTCCAAGTGAAACAATCCAGGTACAGAAAGACAAATACCGCATGTCCCCACTCATAAGTGGGAGCCGAATCCATAAATAAACAAATAAACAATAAGGAGAGACAGGGAGAGAGAAAGAAGGAAACAATACATTGAACTTTTAGAAGGAGACAAAAGAACTGTGGTTATTAGAGGTGGAAAAGGGGAAGGAAGAGGGGAGAGGTAGAGGGATTAATGAGAAACTGGGTAAGGGACACAAAGAATGATTACATACTGTAATGATGAATAAGCTAACTGTTCTGATCTGACATCACATATCGTACAAAACTATTGAAAGTCAACTTTGTACACCCCACATATACGTATAATAAATTACCTTTTTAAAAAAAGTTGAGAACCAAAAAAAAAAAGAAATCGGAACAAATTAAATAAAGCTAATCAATTAGGAATGGTCAAATGACAAAAAAGCATCCATATTAATGAATTCTACATGGTCATTTAAAAATGAAAATATATCCATAATTAAAAACAATTTTATAGTACAATTCAACCTTTAAGACATATTATCTACCTATATCTATACAAATGTATATGTCCATAAAAAGCAGTTCGGTGAGGGGGGAAAAAAGCAACTGTTAGAATAAAATACTCCCATTTGCAACAACATGGATGAGCCTGGAGAAACTTATGTTGAGTGAAATAAGCGAAGCACAGATACTGCATGTGCTCACTCATATGTGGAAGCTAAGAGAGAAAGAAGGAAGGAAAGAAAGATCACGGTAGTGCGTTAAACTTGCAGAGGGAAAGAACATTCTATGGGCTACAAAGTGAGTTGGGCGGGAAGGGAGGAAGGAGAGGGAGGCTGGGGATAATTGGGTGGTGAACACAGGGTACAAATGCAATTTGTGGTAATGGGTATGCTGCCAGTATGAATCTGGCCGACACATCATGGGCACAAGGGGTGACACTCAGCTTTGTATCTCATGAATATTCACAACCAATAAAAAAAAAGCAACTATGATTTAATGTATAGAAACTGTACATCTAACATTTCAAGCTTTTAAAGGATCATCACCCTAACAGGAACTTGAATTACAGAACTTTAAACCTGGGATGTCCAGCCAACAACAGCAGACAGAGGCTTACCTCTTCTTCTTGGTGACAATGAGCACGTCATTAAAAAGGAAGAAGTAGACTTGCTGTTTGGACATCCTTCTTGAGAAGAGCACCGTGTCCTCCACGTAGGCTGTCAACTCTCCTCTTTTCACCAACCACCGGGAAGAAGAGACTAAAGGAAAAGGCTACAAAAAACAGAAAAACTCAGTGCCCAAAGCCAAATTAAAGTCCTTTTAAGATTACTAAAAGTTAAATATAAAACTTACACTAAAACAAATGATATGTATTATGAAATGCATCATTATTTTATAGCCATATAATAATGAAATGTAACTAGAGAAGCACAGTGCATTCTCCAACAGAAAATAAATAACAATTTATTTTCCAACATAAAATACTATTGACTTACCAATCAATACGAAACTAAAGCTCAATGAGAAAATGTTATTGGTTCAATAAAAAATTATGACCCTTGGGCCGGCCTGGTGGCGCACTGGATAAGTGCGCCGCTTGGGAAGCGCGGCGGTGTTCCCGCCCGAGGGTTCGGATCCCACATACAGACCGGTTCCCGCTCACTGGCTGAGCGAGGTGCGGGAGCAACACCGAGGGTTGCGATCCCGTTGCCGGTCCCCGGTCCGGTACGGGGGCAACACTGAGGGTTGTGATCCGTTGCCGGACACGGAAAAAGACAAAAGACAAAAAAAAAAAATTATTACCCTTCTATTAACACTCAACTGAAAAAGAGTCATTTAAAGCCTAGTAATGAAATCTATCAGTATCAAATGCAGTTACATGAAATATCTCAAATCTGAATTTAAACATATAGTAAAAAAATAGATAACTTTAGTTAACAAGGGACCAGTATTAAAGTTTGCATTCACTTTATGAACGAGAAAGGCTTTTTCAAGAGAAAAAAAACCCCACAAACTTATATTTTGCCTATAGATTATCTACTTAGTTAAGTTCTTAAACTTATAGTAGTTTTTCTTATGGAAGTGCATCCCTGAAAGCATCATGCCATTTTCCACAGGCATGGTGGCGTGTTGAAAAGGGAACAGAATTTGCCACAATTTAAGCAGTTAGACTTTTCATTCAGGAAGTGTGGCTATCAAGAGGACAGGCCAGTGATGGTAACCAGAAGAGACACAATGTCAAGGGACAATTTTTAGTGAATAGTCTCCAGTATATTCTGTAGGTTGCAGAAAGGGAGCCAAGAAGGAAAGAATACTAACGAGAGGGTAAAAATCAAAGGAATAAGGTCTTAGAGGTAACAGCAAGGTGTTGAAGGCAGGAGAGCTCATCCTCTGACATGGAAAGAAAGGAAGTGATTGTAGAGAAAAGCTGGTCACCAAACTAAGAAGATCAAAGACCAGAAGTTAGTTTGTGCCTCAAATCCAGTGTATTTTTCCACTAGATCATACCTTCCTCTAAGAGTTGCCTTTACAAAGTTGGGAAGGATCTTTTTTTGTGACCTTACAAATAAGCACATGGAGCAGGTGAGGGTTCTCTGGCCACTCCACGAACCATATATTAAGTTTGATTGAGTGGGATGGCAGGGTATTGGTGGTAGAAGGTTTTGCTTGTTGGTGTTTGGGGGCTTTGCTGACAAGTAGAGTCTAAGACCTAACAGATGAAATGAAGAATTGTAAGATGTTAAAGAGTCTTTGTGCTATAGCAGACAGTCCTGCACTTCCTCAAAAAGTTAAACACAATTGCCAAATGACCCAGCAATTCTGTTCCTAGATATATACCCAAGAGAGCTGAAAAGAGATACTCAAACAAAAATTGGTACACTAATCTTCATGACAGCATTATTCATAAGTAGCCAATAAAAGGGAAAGTAACCCTAATGTTCATCAACTTATGAACTGATAAAATATGGTGTATCCATACAATGAAGCCATGAAGAGGAATGGTACATGCTGCAACATGGATGAACCTTGAAAACACAATGCTAGGTGAAAGAAACCAGACTCAGAGGTCACGTAGTTTATAATCTCATTTACATGAAATGTGCGATAGGCAAATCCGTAAAGTTAGAAAGCACGTTAGTGGTTGGCAGCCACTCCCTGTTCCTCCTCCTCTTCCAAGTGCCTGGCAACCACTAACGTGCTTTCTAACTTTACGGATTTGCCTATCGCACATTTCATGTAAATGAGATTATAAACTACGTGACCTCTGAGTCTGGTTTCTTTCACCTAGCATTGTGTTTTCAAGGTTCATCCATGTTGCAGCATGTACCATTCCTCTTCATGGCTTCATTGTATGGATACACCATATTTTATCAGTTCATAAGTTGATGAACATTAGGGGTACTTTCCCTTTTATTGGCTACTTATGAATAATGCTGTCATGAAGATTAGTGTACCAATTTTTGTTTGAGTATCTCTTTTCAGCTCTCTTGGGTATATATCTAGGAACAGAATTGCTGGGTCATTTGGCAATTGTGTTTAACTTTTTGAGGAAGTGCAGGACTGTCTGCTATAGCACAAAGACTCTTTAACATCTTACAATTCTTCATTTCATCTGTTAGGTCTTAGACTCTACTTGTCAGCAAAGCCCCCAAACACCAACAAGCAAAACCTTCTACCACCAATACCCTGCCATCCCACTCAATCAAACTTAATATATGGTTCGTGGAGTGGCCAGAGAACCCTCACCTGCTCCATGTGCTTATTTGTAAGGTCACAAAAAAAGATCCTTCCCAACTTTGTAAAGGCAACTCTTAGAGGAAGGTATGATCTAGTGGAAAAATACACTGGATTTGAGGCACAAACTAACTTCTGGTCTTTGATCTTCTTAGTTTGGTGACCAGCTTTTCTCTACAATCACTTCCTTTCTTTCCATGTCAGAGGATGAGCTCTCCTGCCTTCAACACCTTGCTGTTACCTCTACGACCTTATTCCTTTGATTTTTACCCTCTCGTTAGTATTCTTTTCTTCTTGGCTCCCTTTCTGCAACCTACAGAATATACTGGAGACTATTCACTAAAAATTGTCCCTTGACATTGTGTCTCCTCTGGTTACCATCACTGGCCTGTCCTCTTGATAGCCACACTTCCTGAATGAAAAGTCTAACNACCAGTATTAAAGTTTGCATTCACTTTATGAACGAGAAAGGCTTTTTCAAGAGAAAAAAAAAACCCACAAACTTATATTTTGCCTATAGATTATCTACTTAGTTAAGTTCTTAAGCTTATAGTAGTTTTTCTTATGGAAGTGCATCCCTGAAAGCATCATGCCATTTTCTTCCAAAATAATCTATCATAATCTCATAGAAAATGCTGTATCGAAGGAATTACATACTGTTTTTTCTTTATTCAGTCTTTTATAAGCCAACTGGAAAACTCTCAAAACCACAGAATTCTTACCCTTGAGAGCTCTTTCTGTTTTTAAAAGTTACCAGAAATGTTTACTGCCAAAGATCTGATTCAAAAGACTATACGCATAAAATAAGCAAAAGTTTTTGGACACACAAAACATAAATGCAGTAATGTGGTAGAACCAAATGTCATCCTTTTCAGAGAACCATGATTAAAAATAGCTAAAGGAAACTGAGGATATTAAGGAGGCAATGAGTAGACTAAGAAAGGATTGAATATTTTAAAAAAACTTTATGAAGGGCTTTTATAAGAAGGCTGCTCATCAGTAATATACTATTTTCCTGAAAGTTTAAAAAGGAAGATGTGAGATTATGGCTAACCCCAAGCTTTTTCAAAACTTACTATTAAGAGAGTTCACAGAGTTTCCAGCCCCCCAAATCTATAATCAGACAATTATCCAACAGGGACAACTGAGACACTGAAGATCAACAGACAGAAAGATTGCTTAGATAACTCTGCAGGACCAACCAGCACACAAGAGGTCACCACAAAGACTGTCAGTTTAGGTCCTGCCAAAGGGCTGTAATTGAGAGTAACCTCCCAGAACAAACCAACGGTAGTATGACGGTTAAGTTACAGTGCACATGCTGCTCTGACTGTTCTTAGTTTAGGAGATGGGGAAAGAAATTTTTTAAAATTATTTT